TTTAAAATAAAAATCGCCCTAGTTTTCCAAATCAGATAACTAAAGAAACTTGAAAAGTCTGTGACTCGACTTTGGTGACATGAGGTAGCTGCATACACAAAACAATGATAGCACTAGGTCAATTACATCAGACCAGAAGCAGGACGGGTTGCAGAATCAGAAATTTACAAACCAATCAGACTTCACGTTTTCGCTTTTTCTCACGAAATGTTAGTACAAAATCGTAACGAGAAGAAAAAACAATGGTCCGCGCCAACACAACTGCGCACAATTTCTTCAAATATGTGTAACACACCCACACACACAAACTCGCTCGCGCGCACGCACACACCCTAGAGTAGGCGAAGGGGTGGGGCCGGGTGGCGCACACAGGGTAAGGTTATATTGCACTTGCACTGCCGGCACCCCCACGGTGCAACGGGGCCGTGCACTCCCGGTATTGGCCCAGGGGCGCTACACGGTATCCGGTCGGGTCGCCGGGCGGCTCGTCTCGGCACTGCTCGGCCCCCACGCCTCTGGGCCCGGGGCCCCGGCCGGGGTGGACCTCCCCGCGGACACCGCCCGCCCGCCACGCCCCCGTGTTCATCCTGTTTACGTAACGAGATTACCCTGCACGGGGCTTCCCACCTGAGAGCGCGCCGGCCGCCGGGTCCGTCCCGCTCGCTCGCCCACCCGAGGGCCTGGCGGCCTGGCCACCGAGTGCGGGCTGGCCGACACGGCGGGTGCCCGCGGGCCGACCACCCTGCTCGATTCATTTCATTATAAACATTCCGGGCTAGCACGGCCGAGGGATGATGATGATGCCTGCACTGGACGTATATGGTGAATTCTGGCCCGGCCCACGCAATATCAGAACGAATTTCCCTCTCCCAACTCATTTTTCTTTTTTAATTTAAATATTTGAAATAGCGCTCCGCGCATCATCTGACTTACAGGTGTGCCCAGGTGCCCTCCGGCGGCGTCGCTACACGAGAGGATCCCCAAACCCAACCCCTGCCCTGCCCGCCTCACCCTCGCCCCCTCAATCAACACTACGCCCCACTAGCCCCACACCGCCCCCGCCCCGCCCCCGTCGCCCGCCCCAATGATGTTGACCTTGCGCCCTCCGCGGGGGAGCAGCGGCGCGGAGCAGAGCGGAGCACCCTTGGAGCTCATCAACAAGGTCCCACGTTAATTCGGCTCATTCGCTGCCAAACCGACCCCACCGGGGCAAAAAGCCGGGCAGTGTCAGAAAAGCACCACCAGGAAAATAAATTTTTGTTTTCGGCGCATATTTTTTCGGTGAACTATGACAAGAAAAAATCGAAAATCCTGCTGCTTCTCGTTTTCCCTTCACTCCCCAATTTCTTCCCTTCCACAAATATACCACGACCAAACACGTTACACTAAAATCTTGAGAGGATTCTCGAATTAGTGCCGAAGAATCGCTCCACTCCCCAGCACGCGAGGCGGGTTTTCGCTCACGCTACGGCTGTTAAAACACGTTTAACGGCTAAAGAGTTATTTTTTCTTATGTTTTCACACCTGCTGGGCTGGTTGTGGATGCCCAACATGAAGCACAAAAAGTTCTCCACATAATTCACTCCCTACGACTCACGTGAGGTGCGTGGACACCAGGTTGGCCCGCTTGAGGATGGCCCTCGCCTGCGAGTTGGTCACGTGGCGCAAGCTCTCGTTGTTCACGGCGGTGATGAGGTCCCCGGGCACGATGCGGCCGTCCCGGTAGGCGGCCCCGCCGGGGACCACGGCCACCACGAGCATCCCGTTGACCCCCCTCCCCACCGAGTCCACGCTCAGACCTGAAAGTCGACAAAAAAACAAGAACAAAAACAAAAAAAAACATGAAATACTTGTTGTTGCTGGACGGGCAGCAAAGAAACAATGTGTAACTTCAAAACCGTGCATACCCAGCGGCAGCGAACCCTTCCGTATCCGGATGTCCAGCTCGAGCGAGGTGGGCAGCTGAAGCACGTCGGCGCCCCAGCAGGCGGCCACCTCCTCGTCCTCGAGGTCGTCGTCGGTGAGGTCGCCCCCGAGGGACGGCGTCCTCGTCGGCAACCGCTCCGTGGACACGGGCACCATGAGCTGCGCCGAGACGACAACAAACAACCGTCAACAAAAGTGTTTCCATCAAAGCGCTTTTGCGTGTACTCGGCACCGATCGGATTATTGTAAACGATGGTTGATGACAAAATACTCAAAAACCCCAACCCACATATGTTGATTCGATTACTTAGGCATTACTTACTAATCGATATCACTTCCGGACGGAATCAGTCCGTTCCGGTCAAATGGGCAGGCTGGATCTGGCTTAAACTGAACACACCCTGCTCTGTTACCCACCTGCAAGAGGTCGGCGCTCAACTCGTCGTCCGTGCTCAGGGCGTCGCTGGGGCTGGGGCTGCCGCGGCCGGAGCTGACGGTGGCCCTGCTCCGGCGGCTGCCCCTGCCACTGCTCCGCCGACCCCGGCCCCGGCCAGGACTTCCCTCCACGGTGGCCCGCTTGGTCGGGCTGGCGTCGGGGCTGCGCCTGGGGCTGGGCGTCCTCCGGGGACTGTCCGGAGTCTTCCGGGGGCTCCGCGGCGAGCTCCGCCTCCTCATCGGGCTCGTTCGGCAGGGACTCCTCGGCTGGCTCGTCCTGGCCGGGCTCCGGCACGGGCTCCGGCAGGGGCTCCTCGGCTGGCTCGTCCTCGCCGGGCTCCGGCAGGGACTCCGGCATGGGCTCCGGCACGGACTACCACACGGGCTGCCTCCGCACGGACTACCGCAGGGGCTGCCGTCGCACGGGCTGCCGCACGGACTTCCACAGGGGCTGCCGGAGTGGGCGGGGCTGCGGCAGGGACTCCGGCACGGGCTCCGGCACGGGCTGCGGCACGGGCTCCGACACGGGCTCCGGGTGCAGGTCCTCGGGCTCGGCGCAGGGCTCCGGGCCGCGTCCTCCACGAAATGGTCTCTGAGGGGACTGTCCCTCGTGGAGCTCCGCCGTCGCTGGCGCGTGTGCGTCCGGCTGCCCGGGCCAGACCCGGGGCCTATGTCTATCGGCTCGCTCACGTGCCTGAGAGGGCTCAGGTCCCTTATCGTGCACACCTCCTTCATTGCGGCGGAGGGGGTCGGGCTGGGGGTTGGTC